AGCTGAAGTCGGACGCTTAACCGACTGAGCCACTCAGGAGCCCCAAAACTTTTTATTTATTTATTTGTCTAAAAAATTTTTTTAATGTTTTTAAATTTATTTTTGAGAGAGAGAGAGAGACAGGGTATGAGCAGGGGCAGGGGTGGGGGTGGGGGGGCAGAGAGAGAGGGAGACAGAATCCACGAAGCAGGCTCCAGGCTCTGAGCTGTCAGCACAGAGCCTGATGCGGGGCTCGAACCCGCGAACCACGAGATCATGACCTGAGCCGAAGTCGGATGAAGTCGGTTAACTGACTGAGCCACCCAGGCACCCCACAAAACCCCTATTTTAAAACTCATTTAAACAACAAAAGTACCATGCACGCTTTAGTCTCTGCTGGAGACAGAAATTGAAAGGGATATTTATGAAGGCTTTCTCACGGGATTTTGTTTTCAGTCAAAGGCTACTCAAGTAATGATAAAAGACCCCAAGACCCATTACCAGTACAACTCTAAGTCTTGCTTATCGCCAAGGCTCAGTCAACAGGTGCTAGAGATAAACCATACCAGCAAAGTATCTCCCAGCGGGATCCACCTTCCCATCATTGAATCGATTGTTTTTCTTATCTTTATCTACTGTGGCCAGGACAGCCACCGACTGATCTTCCCAGTTCAAAGCACAGAACTTTGTTCCAATGGTGGCGACGTAGCCTCCTGACTGGCGAAGGGCCACAGAGCTGATGGGGGCATCTGCAGAAGCAAAAGCAGCATTCAGGACTCCACACGTGGGCCAGCGGCCCAGCGGCCCAGCGGCCCACCGCAGGCATCGTGCCACCAGACATCCCCGAGGGGATTCCAGCTCTTTTGACAATGGGAGTGCCCTCTCCCTTCAGTTGAAGGGTGCAGACTCCCTAACCGAGTATATTCATTCAGCAGTGTTCTGGGCAGCAGGGCTAGAAAGGGGAATGAAACCCAACTCTTCTGGAAGCTTCCAGTCTAGTGGGAGAAGCAGGGAAGTCACACCGTGACACACTGGGGCGGGTGTCACATCAAGTTCGAAGGAGGGGGTCCCTAACTGGGGTGGGGGGACAAGGGGACACCAGAGTAGCTGTCACAGAGCAAGTGATGCTCGATTCACCTGGTCTCCAGGATACCCAGAGCTACAAACTGCGTTTGGTTCTGGTAACTAGGCTTTGCGACATCTCACTCTCCCTCCGAAACAGGGCTTGTCTCTCTTTTTTCTTTTTTTT